GCTTTTAGCGTTCTCCATGTTCTTGCCTTCTCACAGCCACACAGACAGCCCCAGAGGCCTTCCTCTTGATGGCTAAAGTCAAAGACCAGGAACTCAAACAGATTGTGCAGCTACACGGATGGGGGGCAGCTCCTCTTCCAGATGGGGACTCGCTTGAAACTTCCTCGACGCTCGTGGCCAGAAGTGACAACCTGTGCAAGAGCCGCACAGAGGAGGGCGGCCCTTCCTCCAAACGGGGGCACTCGCGCCGCACCTCGTGAAATTGTGTAATCATACCCTCACGCACTCCTTCTTGCTCGCTAGAAGGGCGCAAGGCAGTTAGGCCAGTGTCAAAACGGGGCCTCGCCAGAGTGGCAGGCCAATGGGGTGCTGATCTCTCAAGGGGGCGCTTCCTGGAGTGGAAAGGAAGGCTTGCACGGACTTATGACAAGGGGACTTGGGACGGGAAGGGGTTTCGCAGCATCGTTGATGCGTCTTAGGTTTACCCTGGTCCTCCTCCTCCTCCTCCTCCTCCTCCGCCGCCTCCTCCCCCACTCGGAGGGAGGCCGGCTCCTCCACCAGGCTCCCCCTCCTCATCCTCCTCGCTCCTCCCTCCTCTTTCTCTCTTCCCTCTTCCCTCTGCCCTCCTCCCTCCTCCACCCTCCCTCCTCCCCCCATTGGAGGGGGGCGGGCTCCTCCTCCAGCTCGGTCCTCTGGCGCCCGAGGGCCTGCATGGCCAGCTCCCGGATGTCCGCCTGCCCCACCCCGCGAGCGCAGGCCAGGCCCTCTTCGCCCTCTTCGCCCTCTTCGTCCTGCTCGTGTTCCTCCTCCTCCTCCTCCTCCTCCTCCTCCTCTTCCTCCTCCTCCTCCTCATCCTCCTTCTTCTTCCCCCCCCCTCTCTCCTCCTCCTCCTCCTCTCCTCCTCCTCCTCCTCCTCCTTGTCCTCCCTGCCTCCCTCGCTCCCCCTTGTCGTCCATCATCAACCTGCCTTCCTCCTCCCTCCCTCATCCCCCCCCCATCTTCTCTCACCCGCCTCGTCCTTCACATATTATAAGTATAACTATGTTGGCTATCATGCTCCCTAGTTTCCTCGTCCTCCTAGATATACACTTGCATGCTACGTCTCCCTCTTCATATTTCCCGCTACCCCTGGTCAAACATAACTTCTCTGAGGATCTCTGCGCAGCAAGCTTGTAGATTAATCACTCCTCTTAAATGCTGTGGCCATGCTTTCGACAAAACCTCCCATTCCGTCGAGATTACAAGTCATACGTCGCTCATCCTGCTTGTGGTCCTCCTGCTCCTGTTCCTGCTCCTGATCCTCCCCTCCTCCTCCATCCCCCCCTTCCCTTACGACTAACTATTCCCTGTCGCACCGCCAGACGTGTCAGTGGGTCGGGCCGGGCGCCGGGCGCTTCGCCTGATACGTCCTCACCATGCTTGATCCTAGATCTTGGCAAGTATAGCAGATTCAGAAATCTATATATATATATATACACACATATGGAGGGGTCGTTATCAAAATGGGACTCGCCTGGCGCCACGCATCTTCATGTGCTTTTGTGCAGCAGCTGCTAAGATGAAGGGGGGGTCAAGACTGGGCTCTCGCCGTAGCGCCGCGCACCTTCGTCTTCCACGTTTGCAAGAGCTTCTAAGATAGAACACAAGTCGTTTTCAGAGTGGGTGCTATCGCCTCAATGCTGCGCGCATCGCCTGCACCAGCTTCGGGGATGGAGCACAAGTCGGTTTCGAAATGTGGCATCCCTTCTGCGCCGCCCACGTTCGCCTTGAAGGCTTGCAGACATGTCACGCATGGAGGGCGGTTCCTAGTCAAAATGCGGCTCTCACCTGAACTCCGCGCTCATCGGTTTTTCTTTATCTGCGCCAGTTACAGGAATGGAGAGGGATCGTCACAAAATGGGAAAAGTGCCTGAACGCCGCGCACAATGGTCTTGAAATGTGCAACAATTTCGAGAATGGAGGGGCGAGTGTTTTCAGAATGGGACTGGCGCCTTGCCCTTAATTGGATATCGGGAAAGTCAAAGGGTGGAGGGTGATTCCTGTTCAAAGAGGGCTCTCGCCTCAGCGCCGCGCAAATGCGTCTGAAAATCCAGGACCGAGCGCAGGTCGTTTTCAACATGGAGCCATCCCCTTACCACCGCGCGCAGTCACCGTTCAACCTTGCAGCACTGACACAGATGTAGGACGGACATCTGTCAAGTTGGGGCTGTTGATCACTTGAGGCGTAGTTGAGCTTCGGGGCCCGATGCTTCAACGCATGTAGTAATGTAGGGATCGAGGGCGGCTCCTTTTCAAAATGGAGCTTTCGCGTGAGACTTCCTCGGGGTGCATTACCGCACGTGTGAGCGGGCGCACTGCTTACACGCACGTTGGCGCTACGTGCTTGACAGGGGGAGATCGTTGAAAAACCTCGCTGAACTGTATGGTCGTAGCTTTCGTATTCCTGTTTACGCTCCAGACGGATGCAAGGCAGCTCATTTTCAAAAAAGGAACCCTAGCCAAAATGGCAGGGCCAAATGGTACTGGCCTTTCAGGGGGGGCTCCTCTTCCACTGACAACGAAAGCCTGTAGGGGCGTACGAGGAGGAGACTTGAGACAAGAGGGTGCGTTGCAGCATCCCTGATGCATGTTGGGTTTACTCTGGTCATCCTCCTTCTCTCGACCTCCTGCTTCTCCTCCTCCTGCCCCTCCTCCATATGATTCTCCACATTCCCTTGCCATCCTCTCCTCCTCCTCCTCCTCCTCCTCCTCCTCCTCCTCCTCCTCCTCTTCCTCCTCCTCCTCCTCCTCATCCTCCTCCTCTCAGCCTCTGGTGCGACAATGCTCGTCAGAGGTGCGAAACACTGCGCCACAACGAAACGAAACGACTGAGAGCAGCGCAGGGGACATGGGCGGGCTCCTCCTCCTCCGCCTCCTCCTCCGTTTCCCACCCTGAAGGAACCCCCATGTAGAGCCCCCTGCGGAGAGTCCTCAAACTCCCATTCCCCTCGTTCTCACCACCCTCCTTCTCCCTCCCCCCTCAACCACCTTGTCCATCGACTCCGCCTCCGTGTCGGGACAGAGACCAGCGCGAGGCGCGCGCGTCCAGACGCGACAACGGGAGGCTCTCGTCATCTGTCCTGCTCCACCTCGTCATCCTCCTTTGCCCTCCCGGCTCTCTCTCTCTCTCTCTCTCTCTCTTTCTCATTGTATTATCTCCTTTATGTCGCTCTCCCTCTCTCTCCCTCCCTCTATGTCTCTCTCCCTCTCTCTCTCTCTCTCTCTCATTTTCTCTCCAACTATCTCTCTCTCTCTCTCTCTTTCTCGCCCGATGTACAACATGTACAATTACTACAACCATCGCGCGCTTCGCGCGAGCTCAAGTTCTAGTTGCCGTAGGGCCAAGCGTATAGCGCACCGGAGTGTCTGGCCGTGTCTGGATGATCGGGTCCTTGGCTTGGAAGCTCACGCGTTGGTCTGAAGCCGCACTGAGGCTTGGTATTGAGAGCAGTCCTGGGGCATCTTTGGGCAATATTGGAGCTCTCTTGGGGACCTGTTGGGCCTCCGAAACATCTTGGAGCCGCACTTTGTCAACAATTTTGAGCTCCAGCAGATACAGGAAACGCCGTGGGACTTCCTTTGGTAGTTTACTGATCCGGCCACCTTGGAGTTCATGTGTGGGCACTCTGGCGGCCTCTTGGGGCAGTCTTGGGCCGTCTGGGGCTCCACCAGAGTCACCAGAGGCCGGCGTCAGCCCTCCTGGAGCTCTCGCGGGGCAGTCCTGGGCCATCTTGGGGCAATACAGGAGGAAGTTTCGACCACAAGGAACCTTCCACAAGAAATCCAACCCTGAGACCCACGGACCTCCGCTGATTTTTGGTGTGGGAACGTCACGCCTTCCATGGCAGAACCATCGAAACCCGAGAAATCCAGGGCACCTTGGAGGCAAGCAGGGTGTTTCTCAGCATGGGCTTCCACTATTTGAGAGCTCTCGTGGGGACCCTTCGGGGCTCCGAGGCCATCTTGGAGGTACATGCCGTCCACGAGCAAGAGACTCCCAAGCAAGCAAAGGCCATCCATCGTGAAGGACGCGTCGGCATACTCGAAGTTGCGCCATAGGCAACCGAGTGAGATAATGAAAGCATAAGTGCGTCGAAATTTGTAAGCATAATTGCGACTCCCAGATAAATAAGCATAAATTGTAAGCATAAGCATAATGAAAGCATAAGTGAGACTCTCAGATAGTCCTGAAAAACCTTACCAATCCTGTAATCTTACCCGATTCGGCTCCTTCGCAGTCCTCCGTGGGCACTCCGGCGGCCTCTTGGGACCGTCTTGGGGGGCACTCTGGAATTAGCGTTAAGTCGGGCCTGTCCCCCTACAGGCGGATTTTCTACGGAAAATAAAGAATACCCCAAAAATAGTCCAAAAATAATCCAAAAATAGTCTGGGGACTATTTTTGAAAAACTTTTTACCTTCTTGGGCCATTTTGGAAGTATTTTCTAGTTTTCGTCGAAAACCCCCTGTAGGGGGACACGCCCGACTTAGAATTAGCGCCAGTAGCCTCCCGGGGAAGCCCGGGGGCCTCTTGAGGCCGCGTTGGAGTCCTCGTGGGGCCGTCTTGGGCTCCTCCGGAGGCCGCCGGCGGCTCTCGTGGAGCTCGCGCGGGGCAGTCCGGGGCCCCCGTGGGGCGACAAGTGCCAGGGGCTCCCACGGCGGCCTCTCGGGCCTCCGGGGGCCATCGCGGAGCCGCATGCTGCCCACAAGGGCGAACTCTGCAGAGAGCCGCGCGCAGAGCACCCCCGAAAGGCCCCTCGGCGCTCCCCCGTGGGCACCATGGGCCCCCCGAGGGCCCCCCGAGGGCCGCCCGAGGGCCCCCCGAGGGCCGCCCGAGGGCCCCCCGAGGGCCGAGGGCCGCCCGAAGGCCCCCCGAGGGCCCCGCCCGAGGGCCCCCCGAGGGCCGCCCGAGGGCCTGGCCCTCCGAGGGCCCCCCGAGGGCCGCCCGAGGGCCGCCCGAGAGGCGCCGTCGGCGGCGGCGACGCACCGCGCCGCCGCCGAGAGGCCGGCCGAGGGCGGCGGCGGCCCGCCCGGCCCGCCTGCAGCCTCCGCGCCTGCTCCTGGCGCGGCGGGGCGCGCGCGGGCTGCGCGGGGGCAGGGCCCGCCGCGGAGGCCCCTCTCGGGCTCGGAGGGGCCAGGGCCGCGGGGCCTCCTCCTCCTCCTCCTCCTCCTCCTCCTCCTCCTCCTCCTCCTCCTCCTCCTCCTCCTCCTCCTCCCTCCTCCTCCTCCTCCTCCTCCTCCTCCTCCTCCTCCTCCTCCTCCCCTCCTCCTCCTCCTCCTCCTCCTCCTCCTCCTCCTCCTCCCTCCTCCTCCTCCTCCTCCTCCTCCTCCTCCTCCTCCTCCTCCTCCTCCTCCTCCTCCTCCTCCTCCTCCTCCTCCTCCTCCTCCTCCTCCTCCTCCCTCTTTCTTTCTTTATTCGACCTGGCGCAAGCAGCCTAAGCTACAGCCGTTTGAGCACTACTGATTAAGAAGGCGGGCCACTTCTCTCGAAGCTTCGTCTAACGCTATTGCTTCTGCCGCAAAGACAATGCAAGGCGGGTCAAGAAAAGTACCATTGAACATCAGGGGCTCGTATGTAAAGCCTCCTGGTGCCTCGGCCCACAAACCGATTATAAATGCTGCTGCGGCGCAGTCGCCCTCCCGGACGCCGCCGTCGGTCTGTATCACTACACTCACTCCCTCCCTCCCTCCCTCCCTCCCTCCGGTTACCGCCACACTGCGTTTCGACGGGGGGCCAAAGACAGCACGTCCTTTCCGCCAGTGCTTAGGAGAACAACCATTTCCTGGAGGAGCTTCCTGCCGCGGGGACGGACAATCCCTCCCTCCAATGGGCTTAACAGCTTTGACGCCGTTTTGGGCCTTCCGGAGGGACCTATGAACACTGGGGGGCAAACACCCACCCCTCCCTCTCCTCCCCGCCCCCCCTTTCCAGGGGTCGCGGCGGTGGCTCATGGAAGCCTTTGGTGGACATCCCAGCTGCTTTTCCAGGCATTCCCGAGATGACGGTGCGCCAAGGAGGACATCGGCACCCTGAACATCATCGTTCCTCCCCTCCTTTCCCCCCTCCCGGTGAGGACCGTCTTTAGGCCTCGCCAGTGAGGACCGTCAATAGGCATCACACCCCACGCAACTTCCATCATAGGGGTTGCGTGGGCCCCCACTCCCAGGCGTTAATCGCCACCGAGGGGGGCCGAGGACTCCTCTAGAGACCCTCGGCCAACGAAGACGTCCCTAGAGGAGGGTCCAACGTACCTCCACACCTTTACAACTTCCCATGATGGCGTCAACTGCCACCCCCGCGGTTTTCCTCCCTCCCTCCCTCTCTCCCTCCATCCTCCTCCCTCTTCCTCTTCCTCCTCCTCCTCCTCCTCCTTCTCCTCCTCCTCCTCTTCCTCCTCCTCCTCCTCCTCCTCCTCCTCCTCCTCCTCCTCCTCCTCCTCGTCCTCCGCCACCCGCGCGGCGAATGCTCGCGCGGGGCGCCCGCTGGTACGCTTCAATAAGAAAATTCCAGCCTTCCTCCCAGGTTGTTCTGGTTGACAGCCCGGGGGGCTCCGAGTCCAAGCCTCCCGAGGCGAATACATGCAACAAAAACCGCGGCGCCATGAATGTGTCGAGCCGCCAGAGGTCAGGAGAGGCCCATCCAGCATTGTTTCAAAACCAGGTCGAGTCGCCACCCTGTCTATTACCCAACCCTCTCCGTTGCTTTCTCATTTTGAATATACCATCGCGGTCTCCTCCTCCTCCTCCTCTCCCTCCTCCTCCTCCTCCTCCTCCTCCTCCTCCTCCTCCTCCTCCTCCTCCTCCTCCTCCTCCTCCTCCTCCTTCTCCTCTTCTTTTATCCTGCCTCCTACTTCCTACTTGTCTCCTGCCTGCGCTTGCCTCCTGCCGCATCCCTGGGGAAGCTGCGAACTGCGAAACTGCCGCCACTTTCCAGGGCTGTTGGGGAGGGACACCGCAGTGGGTACCGAGCGGGGACTCCGACTCGACCTCGCCATCCCTGGGGGGCTGCGAACTGTGAAACTGCCGCCGCCTTCGAGGGTTGCGGGGGGAGGAAACAGCGCAGTGGGTTCCGAGCGGTCGCCATCCGTGGGTGGCTGCTAAGTGCGAAACTGTCGCCCGGCCTTTGGGCCATAAGTCGGGTCTCCGGCGGCCGTTCGGAACGACCCAGGCACCCCAGAACGCCTTCGGCGAGGCACAGCTGATGGAAACCGCCCCCAGGCTCGAAAACGTCCGAAAACTCCCAAAAATGTTCGGACTTCACCCCCCGCCTGACTGAGCCCATCCCCACTGAATAATGATGCGTTCTCCCATGAATAACGAAGTCCCCCCCTTTCTGCAATCGCTTCGGCATGGGTGTGCGAATTCAGGTTTGCTGCTGGTGAGAAGGCAAACACGTGCCGCTGCCAAATGTTATAACGTTTTCTGCCCTTCGGTTTCTTCAGGGTTTCCTGGGCTAGGCAGCTATGGACGTCGATCAGAACATACAACACCTCGAGATATTTGTCCCAACCCTCCTGCGTTGGGTTCTCGTTTTCAAGGGAGCACTGCGGTCGCACACCTTCTCTACTCCTCACCACTATTCCTGCCTCCCTCTTCTGCCTCCTCGGAGGCTGCGAATTGCGCAAATGTCGCCACGTTCGTCGGTTATTGGAAAGCACGGCGGAGTAGGGGAGAAAACTGATAATTGAAGACCTTGCAGCTCGGTGCGTGGCCGCCAACTGCGCAACTGTCCTCACTTGTGTGGGCTCTCGGGAGGCACGGCGGAGTCGGGGAGTAAACGGATAAATTGAAACATCGCAGCTCCCTGTGTGCCTGCGAACTGCGCAGCTGTCGTCACTTTCGTAGGCTCCTGGGAGGTACGGCGGAGGAGGGGAGTAAACGGACTCAGCCGAGACCTCGCAACGCCCCAGGGGACCTGCGAACTGCGCAGGCGTCGCCACTTTCGTGGGTTCATGGGAAGCACGGCGGAGCAGGGAGTAAACGAACCCAGGCTAGACCTCGCAGCTCCCTGGGGGGGGCTGCGAACTGCGCAGCTGCCGCGACTTTCGTAGGCTCATGGGAGGCACGGCGGAGGAGGGGAGTAAACGGACTCAGCCGAGACCTCGCAGCTCCCAGGGACGCTGCGAACTGCGCAGCCGTCGCCACTTTCGTCCTGTCTCCTCCTGGCATGCTCCCTGGGAGGCTGCGAAGTGCGCGGCTGCCGCCACTTTCGTGGGCTCATGGGGGAGGCACGGCGGGGTAGGGGAGCAAACGCACCCAAGCGGCTCCCTTCCCCCCTCCCCCCCCCCCTTTGGGTCACGCCCGTTTTCGCCGGGGGAATGAAAAAGGGGTCATCCTGGGCGCCAATCAGACGCCCCCAATAATCATCCAATCGGCCCCTGAGAGGCATTCGAAGCCCGCATATGCATCCCCGAGGCCCCCGACCCACAGGCCGAGCACGGTGGCACGACCCTTGACGAACTCACTGTTACTGGAGTCGGCGGAGTGGTCAAAGCCTCTTGGGGGAAACTCGTTCACGATCTCTCCACATTCCTTAATCGGAAGAAAACTGAAGTGCCAACGGCCCAATGCGTGAGGTGGATAGGGGTTGGGGCCGATGGGTGCAAGCCAACCCAGCCAGCCACGGTGGCCGATACTCTCGCGCGACGCACCACCTGTTCCCATCGTGGCGATCGCGGAGAAGCAATGTGGCCCTCTTGACCCTTTGTTGGCCTCTGTCGGGCTGTTTCAAGCCATCTTGGGCCAGTTTGGGGCGGGTCCTCTCGCGCGCGCCGTCGGGGCATACGAGGGCCACGCCCGGGAAATCCAGAGCCGTCTGACTTTTGTGTTCGGCCATATCCGACGCACCCGGCGAGAACTGGACAGGGCAGGGCGGAGAACGCGAACCCTCTTGAATCAAAAAATTGGGCCCTGGGGCCACACCCACCCACCCACCTCCTCCTTCGGGGGACTCCCCGCCGCCCCTTCGAGGAGAGGAGGAGGAGGAGAGGAGGAGGGGAGGAGGAGGAGGAGGAGAGGAGGAGGGGGAGGAGGAGGAGAAGGAGGAGGAGGAGGAGCAGGAGGAGGAGGAGGAGGAGGAAGAATCAGAAATTGAACCCCGTGACGTGGCCTCCCGGGACGTGGCCCCCCGGGTCGGCGGCGAAGCTCGCGCCCCCCGGGCGGCGCCTGGGCGGCCGCCTCAGCGCGCTGCGCCCGCTGCTCCAGCTCCCCGAACCGGGCCTCGGCAGCCAGGCTGCGCGCGTCCTCGTGACGGGGGGCGCCGGCGACCGACGCCGACGCCGCCGCCGCCGCCGCCGCCGCCGCCGCCGCCGCCGCCGACGACGACGACGACGACGACGAGACGCGAACACGACGACGACGACGAACGACGGACGACGATGACGACGACGACGACGACCGACGACGATGACGACGCTGACGACGAGCGACGACGACGACGACGCTGACGACAACCGACGACGACGACGACGACGATGACGACGACGACGGCGGCGACAACGACGAGGACGACGACGACGACGACGACGACGACGACGACGACGAAGACGACGACGACGACGACGGCAGCGGAGGCGGAAGAGGAGGCGGAGACGGCGACAATGACGACGCCGACGACGCCGACGACGCCGACGACGACACCGCCGCCGCCGCCGCCGACGACGACGACGCCGGCGACGGCGACGCCGACGCCGACGCCGACGCCGACGCCGCCGGACGACGACGCCGCCGACAACGACGACGACGACGACGACGTCGACGACGACGACGACGACGACAACGACGGCATCGGAGGCGAAGGCGGAGGCGGAGACGGCAACGACAACGCCGACTACGCCGCCGCCGCCGCCGCCACCGCCGCCGACGACGACGACGACGACGACGACGACGACGACGACGACGACGACAACGACGGCAGCGAAGGCGAAGGCGGAGACGGACACGGCGACGACAACGACGACGACGACGACGACGACGACGACGACGACGCTGACGACGACGACGAC